ACCGAAAATAAAAAAAATAGAAATTAGGCTTTGGAATTGCCTTTTCTTGCATGTTTTGTATGATTAAATGCCATGCTTAATTGCACGTCGGTTGATTTGCATGTTTGAATTGCATATTTAATTTCACATTACATATGCCTGATGAGAGGCATGTTAGGCCTTTGTTTGCACACTTCAAGTGCATTGATTGTCGTTTCCTTAGCCTAGTTAGAGCTAGAACCCTATGATTTGTGAATCTTTAGGAAGACTGCATGAATACCTTTAAATGTTGTTTGAACAAGGGTAGATACCGAAATGGCATTAGTTAGATAATTAGTGTAATCAAGTCCCCGAACTCATTTGAATCTCTGGTTGTAAGAGTAAAACAATTTTCCCGTTACCTTACTTGTGTTTCTATTCGACCCACCCTAAACTGATTAGTGGCAACTTCTAGATAAAATTGATTTGCATGTTAATAATCTGAACCTTAAGTAGTGAGTTGGTATGAGCTTGAGAGAGCCCGAGTTAAGTCTTAAGTTTAGACTTAGCAATCCATTATCCTCTAAACCACCCTTGTTGGCCTATCGAACGGCCACGCGGCGGGGAGGTCACGACAGCTTGGCGATTACGCTGGGAACTTGATTTTTAAGTGGACTTAGGCTATATAACCTTGTTCAATTGTGTCACTAACATGAATGTCAAATGTTTTTGTAGCTAGAAGTTATAAGGGGAGGTATGATCACTGACCCCTTATCTTATAGGTTCGGAGTTTGATAATAAATATTTATTTCTCAAACCTTTGAAGCAACATTTGCTTATAAACTATTGTGTATGATTTATTGCTTTAAAACTACATTTTTGCACACACAACCATGCCGCCGAACTTGAACCGCGATAGGAATTTTTAGGATGGTGTTAAGAAAGGTAGAATCTTGAACGCAAGACCTTGGTGTAGAGATCTTGCGTTCGAGATTACCTTTCTTTTCCCCAAAATTTCTTTTTGGGTGTCGTAAAGTGTCTATCTTTAGCAGCTATCTGTGTGACTATAAGGTACTCCTTTCGACTAAGTCGAGGCTAGAAGAACCCGATACCAACGCGAGACTGCGACAGTCAGACCATTCTTTTAGCTTCACTTTGCTAGGCTGTCTAGAGTAGAAATCAAACCACACTATTCATATGCATGTCTATGTGATTGGCATTACCATTGCCAAAGTAAGTTTTCTATCCCTTTACTTTGCAATTTGTTCACTTTACCATATTTTTTTCGTAGGTCCATGCTAACCAAGGTCAGTCGTGAGTTTTCTCTCATTGTCAATTTAAAATGGAAGTGATGAAGTTGTCATGGCAAAAGTCGTTTAAAAAAAAGGTAAAGTTGTTTTCAATTGATGTCTTACCTTTCCTATTTTATTTATTTAGGGAGTTTGATATCTTTGCCATCCTAGTTTGCATTTAGGAAGTTTAATTTCATTAAAATAAATTTCAAAATTAATAAAAGCAAGTGATTCGATCATTGACAGAAGTGAATGATCAAAACCGCATCGATGCTCTTGAGAATGAGATGAAACAAGTATTCAATGTGCTTCCACAACTGTCGAAGCAATTTGATTCTCTCAAGGTCGGCTCTGCACCTACTTCAATTGCTCGTAGTTCCTGAAACTCTTTATTCGCTAGTTCAATTGCAGTAGTTCCTGAAATTTTGTCCACATAATTAGCACGTACTCCTATTCTTGGAGGTGTTTGATTTTTGTTATTCCGCCTAGAAAACAAAAGCTATTCAATTAATTGGAGGTATACTAAATTCCAAAGAGGGTGGGGGAGGTTATAGGCACTCGACGATACACATACACTCAAATGCATCCAAAATGATCACTTCATAAGTTCCTCCAGGAACAGCCTACAAGAAAGCAACTCCTACGATGTTGAAATTAAAGTGTTTTGATTAAATAATTTCTCGCAACCTATCTAAGGATGAGCATGGTTCCATGGTAGAATCGAAAATCGGAGAACTGGACGGGTGTGAACTGGATCAATTCCACATGCCAGGGCATGCAGGGACGATGGACAATAGCACTCAATTCCGCCGGAAGCGGCCGAAGAAAAGAGAAAAATTTTCTCTTCGTGGGTATGTGGACTTCGTGGGTGTCCCTGGCACGCCAGTCAAAACCCGCAGAGGAGTGCTCCCTTCCTTTTGACTTCTCTTCCACCGATGAGCGCTCCCCGCCTCACCTTCTTCTTTCTGCACGTTTTCTCTCTTCACCTCTAGAATGGTGTTGATGCGTTTTTGTTCTCCATGTGGCTGACGTGAGTGGATCCTGGGGAAGAAAGTCAAGACATAGTGGGGGCAAATATCAGATAATGATTGCTATAAGTACTCAATGATCAAACCTGCAGGGAAAACACAGTTCTGGGCCTCGCTAGAGATATTAATGATTGAAGGCATCAGGGGGTGAGCGGTTCCAAGTTCTAATCAGAATAGGTTCCTCACTTTTTGGAACTTAAAATCAACCTTGCATAACCTAGAACCCGAACTTACCCTTTTCACAGGTTTGTGGATCGGTTTCAGAGTTTAACAAGTTCTTTTTTTTTTTTCATTTTAGTTAAGCAAAAGGAAATTGAACATAACAACAAAAATGATTCCCATTTGTCAATAAATATAATCCATAAAAGATGAACACGTAAAATAAAATAAACAATTCAAAGTCAAAACACGTAACATAAAACCTAAATTATAGAATGATTCGTATAATTAGAAGGCGTTCATATATTTGAAGCAAGTAAGATTAAACCTAAATTATCGCCATACATGTTAACATACTAAGACTATTTAACTTTTGAGAAAGATTCGTTAAGATGTATTGATAAGTAGTAAAACATCAAGAGCCATCCTCATTTTTAAACATGTATTCTGGTCTTGTCACTTTTTAAACAATCTTGAGGTTTCATTCCTTCTATAGCAGGTTTTTGTGGAGAAAGATCATGACCATACTAATCACCATATCTACAATCCTACAGAGCACAAGGTCCACGGATTCCAATCTATTTGAATGAGCACAACAAATCTACCTTGAATATATTGAGTGCAATGTGGAATTTTGTGATAGTATGATACTCGCCATTGCATATTTCACCGGATAATGTACTGTAAGGTAATTTATCTTACTCTATCAACGACATAGAATGATATAAATTACAACAAGACCCCAATGTTAGGACGATATGCATATTTGACGTCAACAAATACAGCAATAATGCTGAAATAGAACATCATGTGAAACCGAAACACAGCTATGTCAATTATTCAGGACTTGGAAAGAATTTCATGGGGACAATGAAGGGGATTCGCTGCCTCTCGTGAACGGGAAGTCGTTGCAGGGTCCTTCGCCAAATAAGTTTATTCAAGTCGTTTGGTTTGTTCGATTATGTACCTCCACTGTTTGAGCTAGTTCGATTAAGGAGGATTACATATGGGGTATAGACTGATAGATGGCACCATTGACTAGTGATTCAGGCATTAGCTAGTTTACTTATTTTGCAAGTTAACACGTTTTTTTTTTTTGTCGAATTGCAAGTTAACGCATTGAAGCCTCGTTTTCTTGCATAACTGAGCTCCTCAGGTTCTCACTTCTGCCTTATGTTGTTCTCGGCAGATTCCTGGAAATACTGGTTGCATTGCAAGGACATGTGCTGCATCGGCCATCGGCTTGCATCTTGTTGGGGTGCTTAGTTTATCCAACCACTCAAGCATTTCCTTAGTGTACTTTGAAGGCATTTCTCGGTGAAACGTATGTTGACGAGACATTGATTATTTGTGATCGTCGCATCACATCCAGTTCTTTTGATGCCTTTAGAATATAAAGTAGTGTGTCATGTTCCAGTAATATATTACGACTTGAATTCTCGGTTCCGCCGGTTTGGTTACGAGTTCTCAGTCCAGTTCCTAGCTCCCGGCTCCCGGTTCTCGGTTCTCAGGAGAACCAGGAACCAAACCAAGGTGCATTAGAACCTGGAATCAGACCGGTTATCATGGGTCCGATTCCTGGTTCTACCCTGGTTGATTTCAGGACTGAAGCACACACTATCTGGTGTCCAAAATGGAGGTGATGCAGAGTGAAGAAGGAACACATTAGCATGATGAAGAAATAAAAAGAAGAAAGAAAGCAGAAAGACTAAAAGAAAAAAGAAGAAATAAAAAGAAAAGAAATTTCTTGGACAAAAATGACCCTAATAGTAGATAAGGTTTGGCTGCCTGTGAATTGAGGCCCTTATACGAGACTAGTTGGCCATTTCAGACCTTTATTTGAACAAAGTTCACCTTGAGTCCTATTTTGAAAAAACTGTTGCACTACATGCCTTTATTTGAAATTTTTCCCAAGGAGCGATTTCATTTTTATCTCATTTATATTTCATGTTTTTTGCTTTAATTGGAATAACAATGGACGTGGATGCTGTCCCAACCCCCCCCCCCCCCCCCTTGCAGTCATCTTTTGGGAGAATAACTTAAAAAAAGTCATAAATCCATTATAATTGAGCCCCTTAATTGAAATTATGTTGGCCACTTTAGGCTCTTATTTAAGACTAGCTGGCCACTTCAGGCTCTTATATGAGACAAAGTTCATTTTGGATCCTTTTTTGGGAAAACTAATCAATTTCGGGTCTTTATTTGAAATTTTCGGGAAAATTACCAAAAAAGTCCTAAATCTATTATAATTGTGCCAATTCAATCCTAAACCTTTTGCATTTGTGTAAATTCAGTCCATCCGACCACTTTTGGCTGGCTGGCCAGCTCTAACGTGGACGCCGACCAGAGCTGACCATCCGGCCGACGTCGACGTGGCAATATTTTAATATTTAAAAAAATCATTTTTTTTTATTTTTTTCCTTTCTTTTTCCTTTTTTCTTTCTCTTTCCTTCTTCCCCTTGCTGGTCGCCGCCAGAGGCTAGGGCCGGCGAGGTCTACATTATTACAAGATACACATAAGCCAAATTGAGGAAACAAAATCACAAAGGATATCACGGCCAGATATCGGGGATTGTGAATAAGGGGAGAGAAATGATTCGGATTGATAAGTAATAAAATGATTGCCTGCGTTGACATCAACACACACCAACACGAACAATCACAAAGGGGAACGAAGCTCCGTTCACATAGACACACATCGGCGCTTCACTCTCTATCTCTCTCTCCCTGCTCTTAAACGATTCATTTTTTTTTTTCGAAAGTTGTGTCTTATTTGTTCTTCTTTGCTTGTAAACTAATATCTGTCGAAATAGGCAAAATGAGTTGGAGATACAAAGGTGGGTTGCTTCTCATTTTTACTTTTGTGATTATGTGGGTCACTTCCGCAGAAGTCACTCAGGTTAGTCTCTCTCACTGTGTTTGTGCAAAATTCATTCTTGCGTTCCTTTTATCTTTTCTTTTGGGTAAAAAAGAAGAAGAAGAAGAAGATATGGCTTCAATCTTTCTTGAGTTATGGCGAGCTTTCCGTTTTCTGGGTGCAGCTGAACTTTTGGTGGATGTTCTTGTGTCACACGTAATCCTCCAATCAAAAGATGTAAATCTGCGTGGGTCGAGTGGGATTACACAGAAGCACCATAAGGAATATAAAAATAAGCAAAACATGCTGAACCTATATGAAAAAGTACAAACAATTTAATTATTTGGTCAAGAATCAAAATACATCTTGATCTTGCAAATATGTAAATCCAGGAGCTTACCTAATGGTTTAGAAGTTCCGGTAAAGAGGAAAGTTGATCAGATAATCTTCGGTGTCCTCATCTTTCCCCATGGGAGTAAATACACCTCTGTATGATGCATTATCGTTTCATATTAAGATAATTAACATTGCTAAGCATCCCTAAATATGCGAATATACATCTAAATTGAGCCAACTGAGCATGCATGGTTCGTTATACTCGTACAGGTTTCATCACGTGCTTAACGAATGAGTTATTTATCAGAACCTAAATAGGTGACGCACCTTGACGTTGTTTTCAGAGTTTTCATTTGGTGATCCTAGTTATTTACATTGTTTAATCAGTGAACCGTGTGTTCCTATTTTATCTTGCTTGGATTGCTGATCCTATTAGGTAGTGATTTAATTTTCTTTCCCTGCTGATAAAAATTTATGAATCCGAAGAACATCAGTTCCTCTGTCGCAGTAACTTTTACCAGCTTCATATCAACTGGTGTAACAGGGTGTTTTCGAGAAGTATGAGCAGCCATTCGCGGTGACCTATCTCGGGACTTCAATCTTGGTGTTCTATCTTCCCGTAGCATTCTTCAAGGACTGGTTACTGAAATCCCTAAAATCCCGCACTAGTGAAAGTGGCGATAGTGCGGCTAGTGCGGAGACGGTCGATGCAATCTGTGCAGGTACAGATTCTCCTGGCTAAAATAATGGGAAGCAGGGTGATATTGAAATGGTCAATCAATAAAAGTTGAGTGTGGTGGATTCAACAGGCGAACGAGTTCATTTACTTGATGAGGGTAAGGCCTCTGTTTCAGAAGCAAAAGACGATGACATTGTGGAACAAGAGGAGAAGATGAAAAGCAAGCAAATTCTCAAAGTTGCCTGCACCCTTGCGCCTATTTGGTTTGTGTGTGAGGTGAGAGACCAGTTTGTTTTTATTGTTAACATTCTTTACTGCGACCTTACTTTTAAGTGTCTGATCATATATCTTCTCATACAAAGCATGTGATTTTCACAGCTTCTCAAGTTGGTATAATTATCATTGTGGGGCTTACAAGAGAAGTACTAATTTACCAATACAAAATCATGTCTTTTCTCAGCATATTTCGCATAAAATTGGCACTCATCTATTATCCTCTACTGGAATCAATTGATTGCAACGTCTGGTCTTACAATGATCTGTTTATGATCTGCTTCATCCAAAACCATGACAGTCTTAATGAGTAATGTTGAATACCAGGCACTCCTTTAGATATAGCATAGTATTGAAGGGTGTTATCATTGTTTGCAGTATCTCATGAATGCTGCACTCGTACGAACAAGCGTTGCCAGCTCCACGATATTGTTATCGACATCAGGACTTTTCACCCTTCTGATTGGTGCATTTCTGGGACGGGACTCCATAAGTGTAGTAAAAGTAATCTCGGTCTTTATCAGTATAGCCGGAGTTGCCATGACTGCACTAGGGAAGACTTCAAGTACCGATCAATCACAATCGAACACAACTGTGTACGTAATCTTTGTTTTCCAAAATCATTCAACTTCATCTTGTGTTTTCATTCTACTTGTTTCCTATTAGAAATGGAACATTCTTGTGAGATAGTTCTTCTGGAACTCAAATCAAGTTGATGTAATAACGAAATAAATATGTATAGTCCTTGCCTATTATCATCTGCATATTTAGTTCTTTCTCAGGTTCCGCTTTCATTTTACTCTTAATTCGTACTTTTTAGGCGTACTGATTGAAATTACTGACCAGCCAATAATAAGGTCTTCTTCTTTTGTGTTCAATCTGTTCCTTCAACAACAGAACCAACTCTCTTATAGGGAATCTTTTCGCGATTCTCTCGGCTGCAATCGATGGACTATTTGCCGGTATGGCATTTTCTTTTTCTTCAAAATGAATTTTCTCCTTCGGTTGAACTTTTCAACAAAGATGTAGCAGCTAACGAGAATCATATGAAAAATTTCAGTGCTTATCAAGAAGTACGCTGGAGAGGAAGGAGAAAGGGTGGACATGCAAAAGTTATTTGGTTGTATTGGACTATTCTCGCTTCTCGCACTTTGGTGGCTTGGTAAGAACAGTCCCTTAATTTCAGCTTCCTCATGAGCATAAGTTTTTTCGCATGATGGTGTGCAATTACCTCTGGGTAAGATGGTTGAGAGGAAAGTGGGCAGCACTGCTGCATATCCCTTCCATCACTGCAAGGGTTTAATTTAAAACGTGTTCCGATTATCTTGTTGGTATATTCTTTTTTGTGGAGGTAGTTCCTTGGGAATCCATAAGGTGGTCAGAACAAAATGGATAGCTTAAGTCTCTGTTTCTTGCCATGTTAAGTTCACTGGATGGTTGGTTCAGGTCTGCTGAGTTATCCAATGTTGCTGTAATGTGAACCATTTTGTACTCCTTTTGTCTCCGCATACATGCACATAGACTTAATGCACACATCATTGGTAGCATGAATACCAAGTCAAAAAGAACTTAAGAGACCGTCCCCCACCTTTTACAAATGGCGGAGCTCTTGAATCTGTGGAGACGATTCAGCAGCAATTGAACAGTTGACATTGACATGAGTTAGACTTGAATGGGCAACATCAAAAAGAGAATCAAATGCCCATCTGGCATTCCATGCTATGCCTCTTTCTTAGATGTTAAGTAGTCAAAACCCAGTCGCAGGCATTTTATAATTGTGGCTGAACATGCGTTGAGCCGTAGGACTCGTAAGTTGCAAAAGTGATGCGAAGTTTTCATATGGAAAGACGCATTCAATGATTTTCTAAATCAGAATCGTTGGCATTTAAACCAATTACTGTCTGTTCTTCAACAATGGTGTCTTAACTATTTCTTATGCTTGGATTTTTTCAGTTTGGCCTCTCGTTGCTTTAGACATAGAGCCCAAATTTGCCTTTCCTCAGTCTGCGGCCGTGATGGGTGTTGTTCTTGCCAACTGCTTCGTGGGAAATTTCCTCTGTAATTATTTCTGGTTAGTTCAGAGGCTAAACCTTGATGAATGACGATTCCTACATTCTTGAATCTGATTAATAAGACTTGTCAATTATTAATAGGGCGCTCAGTGTTGTTTGGACCACTCCTCTGGTGGCATCATTAGGTGCCTCCCTCGAGATACCCGTCGCCATGTTGGAAGACATCCTAATACACGGTCGGCGGTTTTCGCTAATTTACATCCTTGGCTCGGTCCTGGTACAATACAGAAAATCACAGGCTCTCCAAGCTTCGAGCATTGTTTTTATCGACTAATTTGTTCGTGGCTTCTTACTTGCAGGTATTCCTGGGATTCGTATTAGCTAACTTGGCAGACTGGTTCTCACCGACATTGGTATTGCATTGAAAAAAAATTTGTACATGTGTACATCTAAGATACTCCTGGTCCAGGATAAGATACAGATGAATCCATTGCTTGTCTGTCTTTAAGCATGATCTTTCTGTACTCGATAAATAAATGGTAACGATTTCACGATCAAATGGATGCATGAATGGTATTACATTTCACTAATCAAATATTTTCTACAATTCAAGTAACTTTCGTGCTACTGAGCATCTTCATAACCGTAGACACGGTTCATTGAAGTCTCATTTAACTTTGAACTTTTTTTTTCTCCTTCAGATTGTGAGACTATTATAATTTAGTATCTAAAGCGAAACACCTAGAACCTCTATAAATATGCAAATGTCGGCACGTAAATAATTTATAATTCCTTTACTATTTTATTGAACTCTAAGAAAACTTTATTTCATTTTTAAACCCTAGGAAAAAGAAAAGTCATAACTAGAAGTCGTGAGTTAAATTTGCCGAAGGATACATTCCATTGGGAAAATTGACCAAAAAATGCAAAACCTATTGTACTTTTACCAATTGAGTCCTAAACTTTTCAATATTGCCAATTGAGTCCTGAAAAATTTTCAAGTTTTGCCAATTGTGTCCATCTAGAATAATTTGGTCGAAAATCACATAGATATTTTTTAATAATATTTTTTCAAGTTTTTCATTTATTATTTTCATTTTTTTTTCTCTTCTTCTCTTTTCCTTCAAAACCTATTGTACTTTTACCAATTGAGTCCTAAACTTTTCGATATTGCCAATTGAGTCCTGAAAAATTTTCAAGTTTTGCCAATTGTGTCCATCTAGAATAATTTGGTCGAAAATCACATAGATATTTTTTAATAATATTTTTTCAAGTTTTTCATTTATTATTTTCATTTTTTTTCTCTTCTTCTCTTTTCCTTCTTTTTTTTCTTTTCTCTTCTCTTATTTTTTTTCCTTTTTCCCTCCACCAGCCTCAGGCAAGAGACGCCTGAGCCTTGGCTGAGGAGGCAAACCCTCATGTGATCCGGCGAAGGGCTACCCTTGCTTGAGACCAGCAACCTCCACCGGCCATCGACAAGACTTAACGATGGCCAACGAAGGGAAAAAGGGAAAAAGAAAAAAAGAAGAAAGCAAAGAAGGAAAAGAGAAGAAAAGAAAAATATTAATAAATATTCGAAAAAAATATTAAAATATTGTTAAAAATTGTTCACGTCAACGATGGTCATGCCATATAGGATGAAAGGCGTCCCCGTCAGCGATTCCTGGCTAAAATTAGTTAAATGAACTTAATTGACAAAACTTGAAAAGGTTTAAGACTCAATTGGCAAAATTAAATGTTTTGAGACTCAATTAGCAAAAATGCAATAAATTTAAGACTTTTTGGACAATTTTCCCCGATCCATCAATTGGATGTCTACTTCAAGGGCATTTTCTCCATTTCTAAATGGGTGCCTAATTGAATGCATGTAGGCTATTTCGCAACCGGATAGGAAGATATAATAGATGCCTTTTCACATATTAATTAAAAAGCTACTAATATATTAGCGGTCTATTGGCCATTTAATCGAGGAAAAATTATCCAAAAAGTCATAAACTTATTACTTATTTGCCAATTCAGTCTTAAACTTTTCAATTTTGCCAATTGAGTCCTCAACCTTGTCACATTTTATCAATTAAGTCCATCTGTCCAATTTTGACAGGAATTCACTGATGCAAACGGCTGGCATTGACGTAGACAAATTTTATTAATTTTTTAATATTTTTTTCGATTTTTAATTATTTTTTTATATTTTTAATTGATTTTTTCTTTTCTTTTCTTTTCTTGTCCTCTTCTTCCTCTACCGGTCGCCCAGCCTCCGGTGACCAACCAAAGGCTAGGATCAACGAGGCTCGCCAGCCTCAGGCAAGGTCACCCTTGCCGAGATCTGGTGAGGAGCGAGGATTGGCCTCAAGCGAGGTTGCCCTTGCCAAGATCTGGCGAGGTCAAGCCTCGCCTGGCGAGTGACGCCCTCGCCAAAGACCAGAGAGGGCGAGGCTCAACCTCCCCTGAAGCAAGTAAGGGGCAACCTCGTCGGCCATGAGTTCGACCTCGCCAAATCCGGTGAGGTTGTCCCTCGCCATCCCGGTGAGGCTAACCCTCTCCGATTGTAGCCTCTGGCCGATCGCCGAAGGCTGGGCGACCGGCGAAGGAAGAAGAGGAAAAAATAAAATAAGAAATTCAAAATCCAAAAAAATAGTTAGAAATTCAAAAAAATGTTTAAAAGATTAATAAAATTTGTCCACGTCAGCGAATTCCGGCCAAAATTGGCCAAATAGACTCAATTGAAAAAATGTGAAAATTTTTAGGACTCAATTGGCAAAGTTAAAATGTTTAGAAATGAATTGGCAAAAGTGCAATAGATTTAGGACTTTTTGAACAATTTTCATTTTAATCAAAGTAATGTCTAAATGCCTTTTCACAGTCAAGTTTACCTACAAGCATTAAATGATTTTTTAATAATGTCGAAATAGCTTAAGAACGAGAATTTTTATTTGGGTTAATACCACGAAAAATCTTAAACAGATAAACATGTGACAAATTTATCCAAAATTAATTTTTTGATCATCAAAAACCTCAAATTCGTACATTTGTGACAAATTTACTCTCTGTTAAATTGGATTAATACCACGAAAAATCACAAATTGATAAACATGTGACAAACGGAGGGGTAAAACTCCAAACCGGTACACCCGTCAGCTGTCACATTTCATCCAACTCAGAAATTTAACAGTAAAATTTAATAGAAACTAACATAGGGTAAATTTATCACAGGTGTACCAATTTGGGATATTTCGTGATAAAAAAATTAGTTTACGACAAATTTGTCATAGGTATACTAATTCGAAATTTTTCGTGGTATTAACCCTTTTAATTTTCCTTGGGCCAACAGAGAGACTAGTGTTATTGTTACTTGGAAGTGAAAGAACATAGGCGCGTCTCTTTAAGGATCAATTCCACAGTTGTAACCCGTTGTAATCATATATTTCATCGTAGGATATTACGTAAAGTGTCAACACATACGAAAATTGACATATTTTTCTACTAATGGTTCGATTTATTATTTTGTGATCCAAGGACTATCGATGGAAAAATTACCAAAAAAATCATAAGCATGTTGCATTTGTTTCAATTCAGGCATAAACCTTTTTAATTGACAAATTTAGTCTAAACCTTTTGACTGTCGTGGACCGACCTTCCTAGATGACATAGCGGTTACTGAGGTGGACAATTTTTGTCAAATTTTTAAAAAAATTCTATATTTTTATTTTCTTTTTCCTTTCCTTTTTTTCTTTTTTTTTTTCTGTCTTCGTTTTCTTTTGTTTCTTTCACCATGGCAGAAGAGGTCGCCGGAGCTCGCTGGCCACTAGGGGAGGGCAAGGGTCTCTGCCCTCACCCAGATCATCGCGGCCACGGGCAATAAGTGATAAGTCTGAATCCGTTTGCGCATGTATGACCGCGGAACTTGGGCAAATGGACTCAGTAGCTTAGAGCAGGACGGGGATTTGACGACCTCTAACCAAACAAAATGATATCTCAGTGCCTGTCAGCGATTGGCGATTATAGACAATTGACGAGAAACTACTGTGATGCTTATTCGTAATACGATATGAACACATTGGGTATCACAGTTGATAGAACGAGAAACGATGGGCAAAGGAAAGAAAAATGAAGACAGAAGTGAGCACTAGCGACTGAGATCCTATTTCTCCATCTTTAACCGGTTACGCTGAGGAACATCTGTTCATCAGAATTTGGTGCCCACCACCTTCTTCGCGAAAGACGGCAGACAGAAAGCAGCAGCATGGATCTGGCACAACAGAAGGCAAAGAGGTTTGCATTAGAAAGACGTCGAAGTTTCGGTTAACATGATGCGTGACATTTTTGTTTCCTTTTCTACCTGAGGGTTGTAGAACTTAGGAGGCCCTTTAGCCACCCCATTGTTCTCGGTATCTAGAGGATTGACAGGTTTCTCAAAGTCGACTGCCGGCCCGTCGTTGGAGCACAGGACAAATCCAATCGTCCCGCTAATGGAAAAAAGTTGAAAATTCATTCGTCTCGTCATAAACTTGACAAAAAAATACAAAGGAAAAATTCATAAAAACGGTAAGAGAGTTCGGTTTGATACCTTGAGTAGGAAGGAACGGTACTCCAAGCATATCTGACTGAGCCCTTGAAGATTTTGCGACATTCGTTAATTGTATCTTCCATTTGGAAGTTGTCCAGCCAAAAACTATCAGCGGGAGCGGACATGACGCCTCCATGACTGAGCGCCCGAGCCACCGACTCCAAAAACTCTTTATTCGCTAATTCAATTGCAGTAGTTCCTGAATATTTTTTTCAACGTGATCAGTATGTTCGCCTTTTCTTGGAGGTGATTGAACGTTGCAAAATATTTGAAATAAGAAGATGTGACGTACCATATAAGATTTTTTTTTTATTTGGCAAAGAAAACAAAAGTTATTCGATTGATTGAAGAATACACTGAGTTTCAAAGAGGGTGGGGAAGGTAAATAGGCAATGGACATTACCCATGCTCTCAAATGCATCCAGGATGATCACATCATAAGTTCCTTCAGGAACAGCCTTCAAGAAAGCAATTCCTGCAATGTTGAAAATAGAGTACGTGACCAAAAAAAGAAAATAGAGTATGTGAATTAGATAATCTCTCGCAGCCTATCTATGTTCAGCAATGTGTAAGAACAATAGAAGAAAGAAATACCATCGCTAATGTACACGTTCAATCGCGGATCCTCATACCCAACTGCTATATCAGGGAAGAATTGCTTGTAAACCTGCAACAGGACACAAGAAGTGTATAGGCCCTCCTGAACCTTAGAATTTCATGAACAATGAGAGGCTCAAGCTTAGTTTTATTTTGCTTACATCAATCACCATTTGGTCGATTTCACATATATCAATTTGTTCAACGGACGAATGACGAGATATTTCCCTCAGAATACCTCCATCTCCCCCACCAATGAGCAGCACCTATAAAAAAAATCAAGTGAAACGTTCCAGCACTTTAACAGCATCAAAACTTAAAGAAGTTGAAAGAAATAACGAGAGAGACCACCTTTTTTGGGTTCTGGATTGAGCAGAGGGGAAGATGTGTGAGCATCTCTTGGTAAGCAAACTCATCCTTCTCTGACAGTTGAAGTTGACCATCCAGAATTGCCACTTTGCCATGCTTCGCTGACTATGAACAAGCGAAAATATATCAAGAGCCCAAAGATATCTGTCCGCTCGTTGCAAGTAAGAATACCATCCAAGACGCTGTCAACTTGACTAACTGCTTGTTGAAATTGTTTCTTAGGCAGGGGAAGTATCAAACCTAAGTCTATCTAATGTTTGACGTGATCTTTTTACTGAATTTGGAAAATAAACTTTGTTATATCAACACCGTCGACTTTCTCCTAAGGTAATGATTTGCAAAAATAATCTCCCCCAAGAAAATCTTATTTGAGGTGGTGGTACATATGCAGAGTTTGTGTGTGTTCATCGATCTTCATAATTCATCAGGATCCAATCTGTATCCTAAATACTAAATAGCGTAGTATTGCTTTGTCATGTGTAAAATTGGAGAGCGATCATTGAAGGTAAGAAGTCACCTGGAAAACAAGAAGCTCCTGATATTTGGACTTGCCATGGAACAACACCTTTTCCACCTCATACAAGCGTACCTCGCCTTCAAAACGAAAAATCACAAAGATCATGTTAGGACTGTCGTAAATATTTGTCTTTGATTCATAACAGTAGTCTTGATGTGCGGTGATATTATTTAAGCAGTCAATGTACGAGTTTTATAAGTAAACAAACCAAAAATCTGGTCATGTGTTAGACTTCTTTTCTCGTCTAATTAGGTGAGATTACATATCAATCTAGACGTCGAGTATCAAACAATTTACGGTTTCCTCCTTCGGTGAGACAATGTACGTACGAATTGAAATAAGTCATAAGATTGTACTTCCAAGGTTTTACCGTTATCTAGAATAACTACCGGATAACTCATGAGCAAGATCAAAAAGAGCGATAAAAAATGCCGAAATCGATTTGGAGTGGTGAATCGCATGCCCGATGTACATGCCAAGTTCCATCACCGGTCCCAAATCGGGACCATATGTTTCCACTAGACCTCCGAAACTAAAGTATGAGTTAACAGTATATATAAATTAACATACCTGGCCATTCAGGCGACATCACAGGATACCATTCTACAGTATCGTTCAAGCCCATTGCCCTGATTCGATCAGCTAATTTATCAGCCATTTTAACTCTGTAAAAGTTCGACCAAAGAAAAACTCTCTGTAAATGTGTGCACTGCACAGAACCATTCGTAGGGACTGGCTATTTATATTCCAAGGGATTGCGAGGCTAGCCTTTAAGGGTAGTTTTTTGAATGGGTACATCAAGTGGGTCCAGTTGACTACTTTTGGCGAGCTAGGAAACCTTCTCGGAACGACCGAGAACCGGTGGTCCGGCCGGACCTGGAACCTCCCGAGGTCCGGTCCGGTTCCTTGGTGGGTCCATGGAACCAGCCGTGTCCTGTATTGAATCAAAAGAAGCGGCAACACCTTGTTCAAAAACTTACACTGGGAATAGTGGTCAAGAAGATATTCTTCTATATTCTTTGTTACGTTAGCTCAAACATAAACAGTTTCAGATCCGAAGATCCTCACAAGACTAGTAATAGCAGTTCCAAAGCGGAAGGAGTACCTGAAGTTTCCAATCAGCTTCAGCGTCCTCCTTTTGTCGGGTGACTGCAGAATCATCCTGCAAACAAAGGAAAAAGGAAATTGATTAGAACAAACACGAACTCAATGCCCAACCAAACAAATCAAGAAATGCGAACTCAACCGATGAACGAACGAGCTGTGCATACCTGATCGAGAGAGGTGCCGAGAGAACCCGAGAGGATCAGGGATATCGCCAGAGGCAGGAAAAGTCGAGTTGATGGTGCGGTTGATCACCCAGCTTCTCCGCATACCCGTTACTCCTTTTCCCTTCTCCATCTCCTCCTCCTCTTCTTTGCTTGCGTTTGGCTTCACTCGCTGCCGGTTTTGGACGCTTTGTCATTGATTTCTGCTGATCTTGTGGGTTTTCTTCCTCTCCACTTTCGCTCTATCTAGGTGGGAGCGAATATCGCCGGAGGTGAGAGCTCAGCGCAGAGGCGACCAAGAGCGAGATGAGACGAGAAAGTTGAGTGGCTTTCTTTCTTTCGAGAGTGAGCATGCGGGAGACCGAGGAGGGAGGAGCGGGAGAGAGCATGGTTTGAAAAAATAAAACTTACCGGTTTGGATGGACGGTCCCAATCTGGAACCGGAAACCGCTGCTCAACGGTTCCAATAAAAATTGGAACCGGTAACCGGTCTGGTCGGCAGAGTTATAGGTTAGATGGTTCCAATTTTATTGGATCATGATCAGATGGTTGCTCATCTTTTTATTATTCCTTTGCCGCGGATAGCTGATAATTCAAATGGGACATTACAATATGACCAGGTCCAGAATGACAAAACAAACAGCACGCAGGCGGAATCTAATTGTGAGTTGGGGAGGGGTACTAAACGAGAGCCTTTAGAGGGGGGCCAGTTGGGCGGCTATTTAGTGCCAATGAATGGAGGGGTTGGTCGTTCGATAATGGTCAGTCTCGTGTGCTTGTGCAGAGACTGCCAGGAGGAGTAATGGAAGAGCAGTAGGAGCTTTTAAATTAGGAGGGTCCAGCAATCGAAATAGCTTCAGGAAAGAGACGGAACAGAAATCTGGGGCTCCACTCGGACACATCGGTGAATATTTCCTCGTCCATGTCAATGCAGGACCTCCATTGATGACTTGTGGCGACATATAGAATCTTTGCTGAGTTGGACCTTCGTTGATGATGACTTGTGAGCAAACTCAGCAAGATTTATTTTCTCGTCCATGTCAGGTCGAGGATGCAGGACCTTCATTGATGATGACTTGTGACAACATATAGAATCTTTGCTGAGTTTGCCCACAAGTCATCATCAATGAAGGTCCTGCAATCTCGACCTAATGATATCAATGACTAGCATGTGCAGAAAGTTTTGAGTTATTCATACCATTTTCTAGAGCAGAGCAAATGGGGGCTTCTGGTTCTAGGTTTCCTAACTTGCCAAAACTTAGACGAATGGACCCACATGAGATGCCGAACTAACGTCCAGACAACTCTGAAATATAAACCATTACTAGAAACGAGTAATTTAATATTGCGCTCTCCTTTGCTCGAACGATAATTAAACTAGAGCGTAAAAATGGGTAATACGAAAGGCAAATATGAGCTTGAAAAAAAATTAAACTCGGGACCTAATGTTTAATACCATGTGAAATTTTGTATGGCCACGGTGAAGTGTTCCAAAATTTTGTTCGAATAATTAAAAGATTAAATCACATCTTCATTTAAAAAGTTTAAATTTTTAGAATTGTAGACTGCAACCCACATATTTCACAATAAATGAGGTCGGAGATATACAGTATGTGGTCAAAGATTACTTTATGCGGAACAGTTTCTTCAGCATTCAATCCGTGATCAATCCTGATGGATATATGAAATATGTTCTCTCCAGCTTGAACAATTACATGTTGAATCGTTCAGGAGTTTGAAGATAGAAATGGAGAGAAGGGTAGTGATCATAGGAGCAGGAATAAGTGGCCTTCTCGCCTGCAAGTATTCGGTCGAGAAGGGGTTTGACTCAGTGGTCTTCGAGGCCAAATACCGCATCAGGGGAGTCTGGAATCACACCATGCAATCGACCAGGCTACAGAATGCGAAGGAACATTACCGGTTCTCGGACTTCGGTTGGCCGGCCTCTGTGCAGGAGAAGTTCCCCAGCCACACTGAAATCCTGGACTATGTGGAGCCCTATGCTCAGCACTTCAATTTATATCCTTACATCAAGTTCCATTCCAGAGTGATTAGTATCAATTATGTTGGGGTGTCATATGAAGAAATGAAGACGTGGGATTTGTGGGGTGGGACGGAGACGGCATTTGGCTCAAAAGGGAAGTGGCACATTACTGTCCTGGACACAGAGACTAATGCCACAGGGGTAAATGAACTATTTCTTGATAGTTTGGTTCAATTCCATCCTGAGATTTGAGTAAGTATAACTACGTACTTATTGTCTACTTTCAATCTCCGTGATTGCTTGATGCCATGTTAAGTGAATGCTGCGTTTTGGCCAGGTTCACCAAGCTGAATTTGTTGTTCTCTGCATCGGACGGTGCAGTGGGCCTCCTAACATTCCAGAGCTCCCACCAAATTATTGCTCCAAAGTGTTCGATGGCAAGGTGATGCCTTCAATGGAATATTTGGATATGGAGAAATATGCAGCTGCTGAATTGATCATAGGAAAGCGAATCAGAATTGTCGGTTCACAGAAATCGGAAGTGGATTTAGCAGTCGAATGTGCAGAAGCAAATGGTAAGAGCAATATCAAGTAGACTATCTGCTTGTAGACAATTGTTGGGTGAATTGTCACTGTGAGCTATAATCAAGTTTTATCAAAGCTTTGAAGTTCATCTGAAACTTCTGTAATTTCATTGAACTACATTAAAACCCATTCTATATGAGAGTAAATTAGTAATGGAATGGGATTCAATCATGCTTAAAGTATCTACACATAAATGAATTTGTATACGCAACTCCGAACACTTCTTATAGGAATTCAATGGTTGCAGTAACTACTGCATACCAACAAGGACCACGTGCTAATACAAGACTACTTCATCGAGAGATGTGCTTTTCATGCTTTTAATGATCGAGCTTATTTGATATTATCGTTTTCCTTATCTTATTCTCATTTCTTGATTGGAATAAGGAGTCAAGTACCCTTGTGATATAATCCAGAGAAATCCTCATTGGTTTCTGCCGAGCCATGGCTTCTTAATATCTTACCTTGGCTACTTGTACTTCAATCGATTCGCCGAGCTGCTTCTTCATAAGCCAGTACAAAACTTCCTGTACCGGCTTCTCGCTACAGTTCTTACACCATTAGTATATGCATACTTCCATTTTTTCGGTTTAGTTCTGCAAAACTTGCTTGTCTATCAATCATAACCATAAATAGATGACTCTTTTATCTGTCAAGTTCTTTTTTCATGATTATCTTCGTTATATGCATCCGCTTGTCAATCATAAAGTTTGTTCACAAGGTAATCTTGAAATTCCTAGAGATGGGGCATTTCGAAATTCTTGGAAATCTATCTCTAGTGGAAACTCCCATTGAAGAAGTATGGAGTAGTTCCTACACACAGCTTTCTCAAGGACATGTCTTCATGTCAAATTGACATGCTGCCCGACAAGTTCTACAATTAAGTGGAGGAGGGAAGCATCCTAATCAAGAGGTCGCCGAGCTTTCACTTCTGCAGGGAAGGTCTGATAGTTAGCGGAGAAGACAAACTGATCCCGAGCGATCTCGTGATCCTTGCCACCGGATATAAAGGCAATCAGAAGCTCAAGAACATTTTCAGATCTTCAATCTTCCAAAAGTACCTCGTCCCTTCACCAACTTCAACCATTCCTCTTTACAGGTACCATTTCATACTTGCAGTTGCAACACTGCATAGCATCAATTTCCACTCAGAAACCTTGATATTCAAAATGCGTATCTTATTATCTAAGTGAGGATTAACTATCAAGAATCAACACCAAGATATCATCTAGCTCCGAGACTGCATTGCAGCATTTGCCTAGCCTTAAGGTCTCTTGTGCATCATTACAATATTTAGGTGTGGTACTAATTTCAGGGCATTCGAAATGCAGTTTTCTTCCCATAGGATTTTGTAATGGTGTTGCGCCCCATCCTGGTTTTGTTGTAACAGTTTTATATACCGACTTCAGGCAGGTGATTCATCCTCGGATTCCCCAGCTTGCAATTATAGGATACGCGGAGGGCCTTGCAAACCTACCAACCACGGAGATCAGATGACCTGGCTCGTGCACCTCCTCGACGGTAACATCAAGCTGTCGAGCATCAGGGCAATGGAAAAGGACACAGCGAGGTGGGAAATTCACATGAAGCAATACGGTGGGAGGAACTTCTGGAGATAATGCATTGGAACCACCAACATTTGGTACAATGACCGACTGTGCAAGGACATGAACTGCAATCCGAGAAGAAAGAAGTGGTTTTTGGCCGAGTGGTTCCAACCTTATGGACCAGCTGATTATGCAGGCCGCGTTGATGAGAGTTTCTCATAATCAGCTTCAACTGGTCCATAAGGTTGGAACCACTCGGCCAAAAACCACTTCTTTCTTCTCGGATTGCAGTTCATGTCCTAGCACAGTTGGTCATTGTACCAAATGTTGGTGGTTCCAATGCATTATCTCCAGAAGTTCCTCCCAAAGTATTACAGTATTATTCTACAAGATTCAAGTCATGTAAATTTGCAAATAATATTTGTAATGGAGCCATCCAAAGAAGTTTTTTTCATTTTAATGGATCTGCTGCAGCTGAACTGTCTTGGTGCTGGATCTCTAGTCTGTTAATGACAGATCTTATTCCTTAAGTAATGTGCCCAAAAAACTGAACTCTTTTGAGACGTCATTTTTAGGGATATATGCCCGTGCCGACGGCCTTGTGCGCCAGCTTCTTTCTTTCTTTCTTTCTTTCATTTATATGCTTGTGAGTGAATCAGAATTCTCAATTCTCAGGTCTTGGGAACCAAGAAAGATCAAACTTTGGAGGCTGAGATATTTTCATGGTCGATGCCATGAACCCTCGATAAGAAGAGGCCCATCTGGTCTAAACTTTTAAGTTCTGGAACTCATTTTCTGATTTAGGGAACTGATTCCGGATTAATGCTTTGATGGGATTGGTTCTAACTCATGACTTCAAAATGTTCAGGGAAGCAGTGTATAGGTCTGGTTTTAACTGTAATAATTGCAATAAGTCATTTTCTGATTTAGGCAACTTACTGCTGCTTTAGGGGACTACATCAAAGTGAAGCCAGCGCTGACAGAACTATTCAAATATTGTTAACTGTAGTCTAGGACCAGGCCGCTTCAACTTGAATTATGGAATTATCATCGTTGATTACCTTTTGCACTATTAAGGTCATCTTCTTTCTTTACCTTTTAACGATTACCTTTTTTGCTCTTTACCTCCATATCTGAAGTTATGCTCAGTTGGTCGGGGTGGAAAGCAGGCGAGGGGGAGCAAGTCTATACTCATTTGTTGAACTGTGATGATCGAGTCCTCTCTTTTATAGGCAGCAGGTTTAGATTCGTCTATGGTTTGTGGAAGTTCATATAAGATGGAAAGGAACTTTGGAAATTATAAATTTCTTAATGCTTATTAGTTGATTGTGCCATAATTTGAGATGACTTTATAACTTTTAACTACTGAATTAACTGTGTGGTGGCATGGATATTCACATAAGAAATAGAAGATTTCCCTTCCCCAAGGATAGAAGTGCTAGCTTCCTTGCACCCACTGAGAATAGTGCTTGGTCATTCTGCAATTTCCTCATTCTCAGATAATACTTTTCCTCTCAATTAACCCACCATATTATTTAATTGCAAGGTGCACAATGTATATTCTTGCATTCTTGCTTTTGCTATGAGCCCCCTTGTTTCATTCTTCGATGAGAGAGACCGGCGTCAGAATTTTAACAGCAGAGGCGTTTATGGTCAAGATGAGGAAGTACGGTTTCTGGCTCATTTTATCCATTAGAATTATTAGTAGCAAATTATGCAAATTCACGACAATCCTTTGAAATACATAGGAGTTACAGTTTCCATAAAAGACCGTCTAGCCAAAATTAAACATGTTCATGTGACAGTTCCCTAAACTCACTTTGAGTTTATGTGGTTCATTTTGGAAAATGATTTCCCTGAATATTTAACGATCATATGAACTGAAGTTACAAATTTAAACCCTCAAATGAGCCAAACTTACATAAATAGGATTCCTTTCTTTTTTATTTTTGTCCCCTCTGGCCAAACGGCCTAAATATCTTCCATGTTAATTTGAACTGGTTTTACAATAGCAGCATCTTTCTTGAAATAAGATATCCTTCACTAATTCCCATACTTAGTCTGTACAGGCTTAAGTTGGATGCAACTGAACACTGGAATTGTGAGAATTCTATTCAATTTCCCAAACTATTGAATGGATTAGATAAATCCTAAAATTCATATAGTGATGCTTTTTTCTCTTGGCATAAACTTTTCAGCTTCAGCTATGCCTGAGTGACCATGAGTAGGGTTAGGTATGGCATGACCAATTTACAATATTGCTTTAAGTCACCCAAGTATGCCATGTATGAGCGGTTAAGCAGGCACATCACTTTGTAAACCAAATCTTCGAACGAGTTTTATTTTCTTTAGCATTAGTCGACGGTTATATTTGTTTCTGCAGTTTGCATTTTAAGCGGCGTGGACATTACGAAAAATGAATCAACAGCACGTGTGTATCAGTAAATTCTTTGAAGAATCAATCGGAAAATTCAATTTTTTTACCATTCTGTATATATGGAAGAAACCCATAACTGATGCTCTGTTTCAAGCAAATCAAACTTCGAATACAAGACTAAGAAAGTTGTAAAATACAAAGTAATTTTGTGACTAGCTTGTGAAAAGATTTTACTGCATTTGTACATGTTTATACAAAGTAATTTTCAAGGAAAAAACTGAAAAATAAAGGTCCAAATTATGAAGTTTCATTGAAAGTAGGAAGCAAGTGACAGAATAGTGAAAGGTGAAAAGAATTATGCGCTACTCATCTTCAATACATCTGCCTTTAGTGCAATATAATACCAACTCTATCTGTAACAAGCGAGCTTTTCCTGGTAAGGATTACTTGAGCCATTTACGCACGTACATGCAAAGGGGAGAGAAAAAGCTAATGTTAGATAACAGATGTCAGATTAGATAGAATTGGAGAAGCGGATGAAAAACAGAATTAACTAATCAAATAAGATAAATGGAGGAGAAAAAAGATATGATATCGAACTCTGCAAGAACTTCATTCACCCATCAACAAATCTAATCTTAGACCCTTGCAGCACATGGGCATCTTGCTATTGAAATACTCAGATGGTATGGCCAGTAAGTAATTCTTGGAATCGAGCAAACCACCAGAGGTTGCCCTGGGGTTTATGAAATTTTACTTGCATGTTTAATTTGAGAACATGGGTCTGCCATGGCTTTGTGAGTTCATACAAATTTCCTGTCATGCAGGCTGGTTATTCACGCATCTTTATTGGTAAGGAAATTATCAATCATCTGAGTTAAAGAATATGACATAGCCACAAATTTCCCAGTTTCCTTTTCATGTCTCACCTACTTGAGCCCTCTTTCATCTATTTAAATCTTTTTTAAGGGAGACTCTACGGACAATTGCAGAGATCATCCAATATTAAGCACCAGACTATTCAACTGCTACATATGGCTTCGCTTTACCAAATTCTTCTTTTGCTAACTTACGAACTCCTCTTTATGTTGAGCATTATTGTGACCAACAGCAATGCCACCAAAAGCATCAGTGCTAGTAGTATGCCGAAGAGGGTGGTGGCCAAACTGATCCATCGCAATTCCATCCGATCGCCATTCTATGACCCTAATCATACTGACATTCATCGTGCCAAGTTTGCTCTAGAAAATTCTGCCGCACGCTTTGCCATTATTGAGCAAAAGATGAAGAGCTGCGAGGTAAATGCGTCGTGCTCAGACAACATTCAAGCAAAGCTACGTGCAAAAACCTCTGTGGGCGTGTTCTTTGTAGAGTTTTACATAAAAGACACTTCTCACCCAGTGCTTGCAGTCATGGACACCGGAAGTACCCTTCTCTGGGTTCAATGCATTCCTTGCGAAAATTGTGCTCAAGCCTCCATCCCAATATACGATCCTAGCACATCATCAACATATACAAACGTATCATGCCTGTCAGAATATTGTGAGGCTTTACATCGTCCAAAATGTGATGAGCGCCGCAATTGCAAATATGAGGTAGAATATGAAGGCGCACGCCCAACAGAAGGGATACTTGCCAGAGAGTCACTCATATTCGACACTTCCGATGAAGGGCTACTCACCATACCAAATGTTGTCTTCGGGTGCAGTCACGAGAGTGGGGAGAAACCCGACGCAGTTATGGGAGTGGTTGGACTAAATTATAATAAGTTGTCTCTAGCTACACAACTAGGAGGTAAATTCTCCTATTGTGTTGGAAAAGTTAAGGATCCTTCTTATGGATACAACCAGTTAATTTTAGGGAAAGGGGCCATCCTTGAGGGAGACTCGACACCCCTAGACGTATATGAAGGATTTTACTTTGTCACTCTGGAAGGGATAAGTCTAGGAGGAGTTATGCTTAATATTCCTAGAGCTGCATTTGAGCGAAGAGCTTCAGGAAAAGGTGGCGTCATAATTGACTCGGGAGGAGAGAGTAGTGTTTTAATCCAACGTGCGTACGAGGAGCTTGCCAACGCAGTAAGAGATATGACGGAACTGAAAAGTTGGTTCAAGCCCTATGAAGAACCCAATGCGTTGTGCTTTATAGGTGATGTTAACAATGACACCAAGGGATTTCCCGTCGTCACTTTTCATTTCAGTGGCGGTGCGGAGCTGGGATTAGAGGCAGAGAGCTTGTTTACTCAATCTTCACCGACGTATTTCTGCATGACAATGTTGGAAAATCCTGATGACTACTCTGTGATAGGAATAAATGCTCAGCAGTTCCATAACGTGGGATATGACATTTCAGGCAAAAAATTGTACTTGAGGAGGATGGACTGCGAACTCCTGGATGAATGATGGATTTCAGAAGCATCAACTCAACCATTAGTTCACTAGTTTAGTTTAAAGTATCGTTTTCTTCTTTGGCGTGCAGTTCAGTTTAAGCTATCACCTTCCCAATATGCACACACCTTCGCAGTTATTACATTGGTCCATCTATCATTCCCTTTTCCATTTCTGTTTATGTCGGTCTATTTCTTACTGTGCGTTTAGTTTCTCTTCATTCTGTAAGGTTTCACTTGGCTCTATTCATACGGAACAAGCTTCTTCAGTGGTATTGGGTAGTTTTGTCTTAACTTGGTGATTTAGTACTCGTATTCAGGAAGATTTGGGCTTATGCTACAGCTAGAGAGATCGTTCTAACATTTGTCTTGCCTAAAGCCAGAGAGCAAAAAGTCTAACCTGTAGATCCAACAACATCTAAAAGAACTGGAAAAACAGCGATCTGAGTTTTCATTCTTCGATCCTGCATGCAGTTCATAAAGTTAAATGCGTCGTACTGCTTTTCATTCAGATTGTAGCATTTGAATTGAAGGTCACGACTATTTTTTTTCGCCAAAGTCAGGTTGGCGTTTATGGACTTTGATAATCAGACCAAATCATGATGGCAAGAGAACACTATCAAGAATGTAAAGGTGTAGTAAGTCATACTATGATTTCTCTTTGCTCAAAACAAGTACGACATACAAAATCTCTGGCATAACATTCCCGACATTTCCTTTTCAAGAAATGAATATGAAGCGCCTCCCCAAGAAAGCTCCGAAGCAAAAAAAATCCCAATACAAGTACATTATGGAATGCAAGGAATGAGCATACCGGAAAGAACCCACACCTCCAAGCATCAACCTTCGCGAGGATCCATGTCAAAAAAAGAATCAACCCACCATCAATACTTGGACAAGCAGGAAAAATTAGGGGGGAAAAGTTGAAATAATTAACTCATAAATAACTCCGAAGGCTTCTCTAAGCGATTCCCTCGTCCGCTGAGGCACCCCAAATAAAATTAGGCTCATTATAGCTCCAAAGTAGAATTACAGATTATTTCCCGACGGATGTTTGCCCTGGTGGAAGAGAGTCGTCTGGCATTCATCAATTAGTTGGAGCAACTCATTAAAGTTTAGTTCACAGATGAAGCAGCAACTGCAGCACTATTCTTCACTTTATTCTGCATATTGATCCCGAGTGCCAGCGATTTAGCGCAAAATATCCTATGACGCGCATAATGCAGCACCAGCAACTGGTATTTCAATTTCCGAAGGCTATCATGAAGCCCCCATTTTATCACTTGCTCTATAATAAAGCATTTTCTGGACATAGAACATCATGTACCCTTGTGCTGCTCTCACAATGTTCTCATTCACTTGGGTAATCCAAGCATCGTCGCACTTGTACCACTGATTGCACAGACGCAAATAAGTCACATAATGGCCCGCGTCTAATTTACCAGCGTGAGTGACAACAGCGAACAGCTCAAATTCTGAGGAGAACTCGTTTGATGCGTCAGGTTCATCCCCATCAAAAGGGAAAATCCTGTTCCCGAATCTTCTCCTCAAAATGGAAGAAGAGAGGTAAGGAGCCATGTCCAATGAAAATGGAAAATGCAGATATCGGTCGATCTTCCTCGACATCTTCCGTATGGAAGAATGTTCAAATCTTTTGATGTGAAAGCAAGAGACCAATGGGAGCTTCCGTATGGACATCTGCTTGAGAGACTCCTGACTCACCTGACACTGTTGGCAGAATAACTTCTGGTCCGAACCAAGCCTCTCGGGTCTTGTGAATCGGTCCAAGCAGCCCATCAAGGTCGGTATCCCAGAGTTCTGGCTTGAATTCATGCACTCTGCCTCGCCATTGCAGGAGTGAAGTGACTTAGCTGATGTCGCCTTCGCAGAACCACGTTGGTTTTGCTCCAAATCCAAAGAAATATCCAAGCAAGGGTCATATGTTGTAGATGTGAAACCACAAGCCATGCACATGACATCGGAGCGTAAGATACCAGAGAATACTCTGTGCGCAATACAGCAATCTCCACTCCCTGTAGTAATGCATTAGCGTAATTCTAAAGATATCTGAGAATCCATAATTCGTAAAGATAAAAGTTCCTCAACAGCATCACAAGTCACAACAGAACATATTTTAAAGTACAAACACACAACTGTTAAACACGACACAAAGAGCGCACTTGCACAGGAAAGCAGTTGTCTGCAGAGATTGTAGATGCATTAAATTACCATGTGATGGAACAAATAATAAGTTCTACCATGGAATAACTTGCAAGAAAAGTTGAAACTAGAGGCTAACACATGCCGAATATAAAGACCCACAGATATTAGTTGATAGAGTTGAATCACCTGACTGAGATGCCACTAAGAAAGCATGACACTAGAACAAAATGAATGTTCCCAAGGGACTCAAAATTATTAGGGCTGGGAAATGCCAGAAAGGTAATAACCCAGAACAAGCGTGATCCTACGTGATTATACAAACAAACAAGCCCACTTGAACCACTGACCCAAGAGAAAATGTTAATAACATCTTGATCTCTGTCCTCAGCACCAGCAGACTCCTGATACTGCCTGTAAAAAATGGAGATTGGATGTAACAGGTTTCAATGTGATGCCTTTAAAAATTTACCTTGGCTCTGTGGCCGGCGTCGATCCTTATCCACTTTCTCATGGATCCCATCAAGCATGGAAATGAAAAACTCATGTGCGTCCTGCTGCTCATAACTTGCCAAGTTAGCTGCATGTTGCCACCAACTGTGGGACAACCAAATCAATCAAAAAGTATAAAGCACATTTCCTCTAAGTCAATTAGATAGAACAGTTAAGAAAGTCTCAGTCCAACATTGATGATCAACAAGGAACTTGACAAAAGCATGCATCAATAGAATAAGGAAAAGATGCCTATCCATTATGTCCACAGCCATTTTCAGAAACGCCAGTAGACAAAAGTAGTAAATCAAAGAAAATAATTTTTAAAGGCCTTGTTAACAAATGCCCCTAGGGGCACTGGTTAAATTTACTAAAATCAGAAACAATGCTTTCCAAGACACTTGAAAATACAAAAGACACACGGCACTACATCAAATGGTAAGTTCTAAATTTTGAGAGCACATCTGATAAGGGGTACTCTCTAAGATTTTCCAAATTTCCACTTGCCAAAAATATGGTGCAGCTAAGCTACGACACGAAGAAGGCCAAAACGCAATTGTAAAATTAGGTAATGTCCATCATACTAACAATATAGCAGAACATGCACTGCTCAAACAACTTCCATATCTTCACAGCCACTAGGCCACAAAAGAAAAATTTACAGAGCCTCTTGGACAATTTCCAACCTCCATGTGCTTCTACAAACCGATTACAAACCATCAAGCATCCACATTTACCCCGAAAAAATTCATGGAAAAGCAATTCCCTCCGCATTCACAGACCTGTACAAGAACTTCGCGGGGCTATAAGGCGTCCGCTCCCCCGAAAACACCGCGGAGAACATAGCGTCCAGGTCGCAAGCCAAACAGAAACTGCCATTCTTGCCCCCATGGCCTCCATCAGAGGCGGCACCATCTACACTTCTCTTGCTCGCATTTCCACTAACCCCATTCTTCTTCTGACAGAAGTACCTATTGTGCCTGTCACTCAAGAAGTAGTTCCTCAAAGGGGGCGTGTGCAGCAATGCCTGCAACACCGAATTCATGAAGCAAGTGTTCCCCAAATTATTGAGCCCCCGCAAGCCCCGCGGCAACTCCGAGGTCGAAACGGACTCGAGCGGGCTTGAGCAGCTCCCCATTAGGGCCCGCTCCCGCGGGTCCGGCGACCACGGCCGGTAGTCAACTCTCCGCCGCTTGCGCAGGTTCTCCGGGGCCACCACCGCCAGGGAGCCGCCGGAGGAGCTGGTGGAGGTCGATAGAGTGGAAGCCGCGGTCTGGGCCAAGACCACGGCGGCGTCGAAGTCGCGATCGTAGACCTGATCGCGGCACACGCAGCAGAACAGCTCGGCGCGGTCGACATCGACGGCGATCTCGTGGCCGGGGGACATCGCCGCCGCGTGCGCCGCCGCGTGGGAGGGGCCCAGCGGGGGCGCGTGGCAGGACACGGCGGCGCAGGCCATGCACACGTAGAGCCGGGGCGGGCGGCGTCGCCGCAGGCGCCGCAGCGGGGGACCTCGGAGGGGTCGCGGCGGATGGCGGCCCGGCCGCCGGGGGGCTTGACGCGGAGGCAGTCCTGGAGGACGCGGAAGGGCTTGGATCCGTTACGGGCGCGGAAGTCGGCGAGGTGGGGGCAGCACGGCGGGGCGGGGACCTGGCCGTTGATCGGGCGGTGGCCGGGGCTGGGGCTGGGGTGGCTGGGGCGGCGGTGGTGGTGGTGGTTGATCGGAGAGGACATGGTAAGGGGTGGTGGCGGAGAGGGTGGGGGTGGTGGTGGCGGAGGAAACCCTAGATGTGGAGGGGATCATAAGGATCATCGATCAGGGTGGGGGTCGGGGGGTAATCAACGGCTGGGATCGCGAGAGACCATTGAGGATGTTGGAGGGAATCAGAGGGGAGTGTTGTGTTGTGTTGTGTTGTGTTGCGGTAGTGTCTGAAAGTTTTTATTTAGTGCTTCACTGTGGTTTGGGGCTTCCTGTTGCAGCTGCTGTCTTCTTTGTAGGTTGTCTTCTTCCCATTTTTCTTCCTCTTTTTTTTTTGGATTCTCTTTTTTTTTTTTCGAAATAATGACACAAATAATTATTGAACTTTAATCTAATATGTAATTTATTCAATATAATCCCTGAACTTTAACCTAATATTCAATGTGATCTCTAAACTTTTAATTTAATCAATGTAGTCCCTAAACTTTTGGTAGATGTTTAATGTATATGAAAATGTTCCATTAAATCCCAAGTTCGTATAATTTTTTGAACGATTTTAAAATATTCGTGTAACCTTTATTAATTGAGCATTTAAAAGTTAGAGGATCACATTTAAATAAATTAAATTGAATTGTCAAAAGTAATTTAAAATTTAGGAACATTAG